AGTCAAGGATATAATACGAGCAAATTGATTCTCAACAGTTATTATTAGATGCACTGTTCCCATTTTAAACATACTGTTCCAACGTCGAGAAAGATTTGGAACAAACGCGGAATTCGGCAATCAAAAACCATACAGAATCACAATAGTAAAAATGAGTAGGAAACCGGTATCGACTTATAAGAAATCGAAACCTAGATAAGATTCAAAAGTTGTCACAACAGAATAAAGCAGAGTAATTTCACTTTACAAAACCACATTCTACTGTAGATGAAAGCACACTTGACACTACAGTGTACATAACATTAGCACTCACATGTCCATGATGTGTCTTCAATCCACGATCCTCAACTCTACAGTTTCCATCAATTACCATTGTCTTGATAGGAAGCTACGTCAAACATGTAGAGAAATCATCCATTAGAGTAAACTCATCATCACTCATTTGAGAAGCTTCTATAAACAATTTACACTTCCTACTGAACACACACTGATCTCAACCCAGAAACAGAAAGAGATCGACTCATAATGACGATTCACAATTCTTCGAGTAAGAATCAAAAAACAGATATATAGAGAGAGAGAGAGATTCTTCACCTGATTATCCTGTGGCTTCTTCTTGTAATAAGCTAAAAGACGAGGTTCCAATACGAAATACCTCATATGAATGTACGATCTCCCGATCTTCCTTCTTCCATACCTCACCATCCATCCCTCATATACAACCTTAGACATTTTTTGTCCCCCCACTTCCTCACACTCACGAAGACGAAGAAAATCAAAAAAATGTCCCAGAGAAATCGGAATCTTATAGATCCAAATCGAATAAATGTAATTCCGCAGGAGATCAGAAGACTTGATTGATCAACATCGGCGCTCCGGCGCCGGAATCTGGTGGTGGAATCTCAGATTCAAATTCCGTAAAATCAAATTTTTTAAAACGACAAGGAAATTCTAACTTTTGACAGAAACTCAGAAGCTAATTAATAGAGAAAGGAAAAAAAAAAAAAGGTAGAGAGAGACGCAGTGAAGGTGTCGTGAAAAGTAAATTAATTTATGAAGTAAAAAATTAATTTAAGGATTTTAATACACATTAAATTGTAGTCATCATGCCAGCTTTTGCACATTTCACGTTCCATTTACAAATATAAATTCATGTATTAACGATATAGTAGTAGACAAGTGTTAGATTCGATATGCTTAACGGTAAATATAATTCCAACATTAAATTAAAAAGAGAAAAACTTCATTAAAATAATGTAAAGTTCCTTTTTCTTTCACATGAAAACACATGAATAAAGAAGGCTAGTCACGATCGAATTTTTTACACAGCAAACGTAAATTTTTTACAAAAGCAAACAGAGAGATTTGTAACTTAAAACTTCTTACCATTAATTTATTATTACTTTTTAAAACTGAAAAATCTGAAATTGTGTTTTGCTCAATAAGGTGAAATGATAGATTCTATGAGATCTTGTAGAGGCGCCAGTTCTTTCTTATCAATGAGCCCAAACTCCTGCAAAATCCAAAACCACAGAGAAATCAATCAATGCAAAATGATTAAAGGTCGTACAAATTAAAAAAGAAAACATTTTTCGAATAAGAATAAGAGAGAATTAAAGTTGGGAAAAATGATACTAAGAGTAATCAAAAACGAGAACTAACATGAGTAAAGAGGATGAAGTGTTTGAAGCAAGTGTTGAGATGAGCTTCTTCTTTAAGGCTCACGATTTTCTGGAAATGAGAGTGGTAAATGTGGGCGTAAACGCGGAATAATCGTTTAAAGATCGTCTTCACCACATCCTTGAAATTCTGAGGAAATGGTGCTCCTGTAAAAAAAATAAGTTCAAGGGAAATTAGTATTCCGATGTCGATCCAATCCATCCATCCATTAGTATTCGGTTTTGTTGTTGATTGATCTTATTCAGGATCTCATGGACATTGTTATTACCAAGCCTTTGAGGAAATAAGGTTTCATCATCGAGTTGAGTCTCGATCCAATCCATCAAGTACTCAACATACTTTGGAGCAGAAACCTCGATGGGCTTCTTGATCTGTACACCATCTGCCCATCTATACTCATACCTGCAAATTTTCCGGCTGTAGTTAGCAAGAAGCATGTCAAATAAAACAAAAAATCCATAGAATAATACGGTTTTTGATTAACAAGAACATCGGCCATATTATCGGTTTGATCGAGTCAAATGCACAATAGAGAGTGATAAATTAGTAGGTTCATAAGTTGGCAACATTCATTGCTAAAATAGGTTAATTCTATCTAGATTTCGAAGTCATTCTTTGACAGAGGAGCAAAACAGAAATGGTACATTTCGAACAATAAAATTGAGCATTTACCTTTTGCATGAAAAAGCACTTTATCAGAAAATACTACAGAGATCCAAATTCTAATTTTCATAGTTGCAAAGACAGCATAACTAGTTAACAGGCGTAATCATCCAGCACACTACTTGAAGACCCAAAAATATAAATATATGTTTTGAAGCTGTTAACAAGTTTGTTTCTTTACAAGAAAATAGAACTCTAGTTAATAGATTAAACTCGACGCAGGAAGATTTCAAGCATTTGTTTAAATAACACATAGAAAGAAATAAAAGACGAGGATATACTTAGGGCCAGCAGTCATTGTAGGACAATTATCTGGCGTGCAGAACTCGGTGAGCGTGCCATATAGCAAATTCACCTGATTAAAGAAATCCACAGCTGAAATGGAGAAAAGGAAATTTTATCAACAAAATATTTTTCACTTTATATTCGATCTCAATAAAATGATATGTGCGATCTTTACAAGGAAAATTCACAATTGTAAAAGTATACAGAAATCAGCAATGACCAACTCCTGCAATACATACCGAACACTGAGTATACACTAAAGTAACCAAGAGACTACAAGCAGAGTGGTACTCACTGTTTACAGCAAGCCATTCATTTGCATCCTCTCCTGGAGGAAGTCGTACAGCTTCTCTCAAGTTCCCACTTCCTAAGGTTGCATCTATATGTTTTCGAAGCTGTGCACCCTATATATCAGAAAGAAACAAAACGCTCAACAAGAAGAATCAACCATCAGATTTCATGTCAACTAATGAAAGCTACAAAACATCAAAACCACATAATGTCAAAGATATCTCAACCACAGAATGAGGATGGTCGAATATTTTTACAAACCTTGCTTCCTGAAGGTGCGCTCTTTTTAGGACGGAAAGTCTTTTGATTTCTATAAAAAAAAAGTACAAAAAAATGGAAGAGATATTATCAAAACAGATCATCAATCTTAAATCGAGATCAGGATAACGCAGTCTTTTACATTTAAAGGAGGAAATGTAGAAAGGGCTACTACATACTCCAACAATTAAAAAAATCCAGTCTTTACAACAATCTCTGCATATGACAGGGGATTGGAGTCCATTTATTGCCTACAATCATAAACTCAGAGGAACCAAACAAATCTAATCACCACTAAATGCTTAGTAAAATAAATTTTCCAAATCTAGGGAACATGAATATGAAGTATCATGATCATTAACAAGCTCCAACTAAGATTTGAAGCACAATTCTAAGCAACAATGATTTAAAAACAAAAACTTCTTGTCTACTTTGGCTCAAT